CTATCCTGTCTCTGATATCTAGCATCACTCAACAGTCATCACTCTCAGTTGAGGCTGTCCATGACCTTATTCATAGTGAGATGGAGACATATATTCAGTCCAGTGGTGTTCTTCGGGGGTTCTGAGACTACATTTGCAGGCGATCCTGGACATTCTGGAGATAATTTAGATTCCCTTTTTCCAGCACCTTCCTTTACTCTGTTAGCTTCTCATGAGGCCGATTTGGATCAGCCACCTCTGGATCCTTTTTTTAAGTTGGTAATTTGAGTGTGTGTGATGTTTTGGGTCTTTCCCAGGCTGATTTTGAGTCTGCACCTTCTTTGATGGCAGAAAGGTCTGAGGGTGAGTACTTAGTTTTCCCTCAGTCCTCTGATATTGTGGTTTATGCAGGGAGGTTTACTGCTCGGTTACGTGAAGAGACAACTACGCCACAACATGCTTTAGCTTACCACTGCTAGGTGGATGTATATTTGGACTCTCAAAGATTAGACCCATACCTTGAAATGTGGGGTTCCAGAACAGATAACAATTTTCTAATATTTGTCTGACCCTAACTACAGTGCTGCAATATTTATCATCCCTCCAACTTTTGTTAGCATCTACCTTGGTTAGATTGTCAGCTTCTGCACTTTCCCTAGTCTCTTGGCTGGTATGTTCTTGGGATTTGTTGAGTACAGATGCATTGTTGGAGGGCATTTGTCTACCAGCTCCCACCCTCTGTGACTTATATGAAGTCCCCTTTCTTTGATCCTTGATTTTTGTGGGCATTCCAAAGTCTTCGTAATCAAGGGTTGATATCGCCCATCTGCATTCATCCCTGTCATCGTTGACTTCTCGACTTTCCTCGGCTCCTAGAGGTGGTCACAGTTCCACCCTTATTAGAGTGTCCTGACCCCTGACATCAGCCCCTTGGTCCATGGGTACCCAGAATAGATTCTACCCCATATCCATGAGGTTGCTCCACGAAGTTGAAACACCACCAATGGCGGTGGTAATTGCTCTATGCCTTCAGGGTCTGTTGGGGCTCGGCTCCAAGAATTTCTGGAGGTGTGGAAAACCTCTACCATGGATCCATGGGTACTACATATCCTTGCATCAGGAATAGTCATTCAGTTCACTTTTCCACCACCATTATCCCTCCCAACCCACAAATCCTCAGATTTCAGAACTTCATTCAAGGGCTATCAGAAATTTATTGGGCAGTGCAGATAGTTGTCCAAATTCTACCAGGGTTTGTTATGCCGAAGAAGACAGAAAATTGGCATCTGGTTCTGCAGTCTTTCTCTATTCTCCAAGGGTTTACAATGGAATCATTCCTCACTCTGCATTGGCATTTTTTGCCAGCACTGTGGGTGATTAAGTTCGATGTCACTGACTACTTTCTGCACGTTCCTATAGCGGGGTCATCACACCATTATCTCCATTTTGTGTACAAGGGTCAGGTGCTGCAGTTCAGGACTTTGCTCTTTGAACTAGCATCAGCACCATATGTGTTCTGCCAAATTATACAAGCTTTTTCTCATCACCTCCATTCCCTAGACCTGTGCACACATCATTACATGGATGACTGATTACTGCTGGCACCACCTTGTCAGTTGGTGGAACACCACCCCCAGATTCTTCCTTCAAAAGCAACTAAAGCAGGCTTTATTATCAGAGCTGAGAAATCTATTCTCACTCCAACACAATATATTGTCCATCTGGATGTCTTTTTCAACATTTATGTCAGTCTCCGCTGACTTCCATTCGGCTCCACACTGTGAACAGGGAGTACAACTTTTACGTTTCCTTCTCCCACTGCACGGATTGTTCTTTCTCTTTTGCAGATGTGGGTATCACTTGAATCCCTCATTCCTTTCATAAAAGCACGCATGAAATCCATTCATTGGTCTCTACGTGACTAATGGATCATGAACAGTGATCCACTGGATTCCCCATCTCCTTATTCAGGATCAACATCTTCGATCTCAAGTGATGGTTAGATTGGAAAAATTTTATGATAGATGTTTCTCTGCTGCTACCTTGTCTAGTGATCCATCTCTTCACTGATGGGGTGTATATCTCAATGGTCAGGAATTCCAGGGCCTGTGGATGAATAACAAGGCTTCCTCACACATCAATGTTTTAGAACTTCTTGCTGTTCAAAGGGCAATGTATCAAGGTCTAGACTTCATGAGGGGAAAAACCAACATGCTTCAATCTGACAGTTCCACAGTGGTGTCTTACATTTTCCATCAAGAAGGCACTCAGTCCAGGTCTCTTTGTTTTCAAACCTTGGGTCTTCCTTATTGGGTCCACTACCATCATATCATCTTATTAGCTTGCTATGTTCTGGGGGTAATGAATTTGGTGGCAGATCAGTTGTCTTAACCAAACTGGATTCTCCCAACAGAATGGATGCTGCATCACAAGGTTTTCTGTTGGACTTATTTTGGTTATGGGACATCAATGATCGATGCATTTGCCACTTAGTGGAACACTCATCTACCGGCATTTTAGTCTCTGGCACTTCACCCTTGGGCATTGGTAATAAATGCATTCAGTCAGGACTGGATAGGATTGCACCTCTATGCCCTCCGACTGATGTGTCTGTTACACAGAGTCCTAGCTATGATTCATTCAACCCCTTGTAGTGTTATGTTGATAGCATCAGATTGGCCAGCTAAATCCTGGTTTCTGCTTCTTTGGAACCATCAGTAGTGGCCATCCCTGTTGAAGCAGCCACAATCCAACATCGTACACCCAGCCATTCTGAAGCTCAAGCTTCATGCATGGAGGTTATCTGGTCCTTCACATGGGATTGGTGTTTAATTTCTAAGGTTGCCATGTATCTGTCTTAGTCTTTGCATAGTCCCACGATGGACATTTATCAATGGAAATGGCACACATATCGATAATGGTGTGTTACGAAGTGAGTATCTTCATTACTAATATTGTCTCTTCTTTACTTTCCAGGCTATCTTACCTCTTTTTCACAAGATCCCACTCTGTGGTGAGTGTTGCATGGGCAGGTGTGCTTTTATCAAATCAAATCTACACTAGCAACCATTAACACAATATACTTTATCTAGGTTGCAACAGGCTTTGTAGAAATGAGGTAATCCACAAGATCACCTAGGGGCAGATTGGGTGGTATTACTGTACTGTACTATGCTGGACTCATGGACTATCATTAGTAAAGCATAAAGAGATCCTACCCATCTGTGCTGATCATTGGATTGAATAAATCAGGGTTGGTTTGCTTTTAAAAATATAGGGAACTTGGTTCACCTATTGCACTGTTTCCAGAGCATTGTTCCTCGGGGCTCCCCAACATGCATTACCCTCCCACCACCACTGTATTCTACTAGTGGAGCTAGGGAGTCCTTACCACATCCACTTTCCAATCTCTTGGAGTGGTAAACAGTCTCTTGAGAGTGTTTGAGTGGATTTCTTCTACTCTTGGAGAAGAGGGCAAAGTTGGGGCCCTTCTATACTCATTATACTGGTTAAGATTTGACACTCTGCTATCTGCTTGGGCTGAGCATGGTCCTTCTTTTTGATCAATATTGGTTCAGTACATTTTTCATGGAAAATAATGCACTGTCTCCTCGTAATTCCAAATGCACAGTGGTTCCATCCTGGGTCCTTGATTGAGCAAAGTTTATTCCATGTCCTCCCCATAATTCTGAAGGTAAGTGGAATTTACCCTGCCCACACAGTTGGGGAGTGAGGATGAGTGTTCATTATTTTAGACCAGATGAGTTGTTTCCTCTGGTTGAGTATGGCATACAGGATCACATCATTCTGAGTATGGGGTTTTGAATTTTGGACTTCTTCAGGTTGAGGAGAAAGTTTGTCCACATAGGTATTGCTTACCTTCTCATCATGATTCCCATGACTTGGAATGCATCACTTTATAGCTACAGGTTGGAATCCACTCGCACACACACATCTGTATACATATATATATATATATATTTATGTAGGGGTCCAAATGGTCCTATAATTCCAACCCAAAGCAGTGGGACCTAAGCTACCTGGTTGGGGCTTGGCCAATAGTGATGAGAGATCATGTCACAGTACACCCACAATACATGATTTAGGTTCTGGATGTAGGGAAGTTCCCTCACTAGGGTGCTACTCTTCTATTGCCATGCCCAAGTTCTATACAGATGCATTCTGTATGGATAATGCCCTAACTAAGGTACGTATGTTTTGGAAGTTAACATTTTGTTAAATCAAAAATGTATTTCCAATAATACTTACCTCCTTTCACTCTCTCCCGCCCTTCCTTCCCACTAAGAGCCGGCATTAGAGACTGTGGATTGAGTTGGTTTCAAAAAGTGATAATATTATCTGAATAAGGTTCTTATATACAGTACCAGAGTGCACTGAAGTAAGTGGAGAGTGTCACAAGACAGATATTTCCAAGGGCAGTTAAGTGGGGAATAAAAGACTGGAGCAAGTGAGAAAAATCATACTGATGTTTAGATAGGCAAAGGAAAAGAAACCTTAGCATTTGAGTAATAGCTGTACTATTAGAGGAGGTAAGTATTATTGGAAATACATTTTCGATTTATGAAAATGTTAACTTTGAAGCTGGCAGAACATGATTATAATTTATTTAGTTGCCAATAGATATTGGTATTAGGCCTGTTATATTTTTTAATACTACATTCTATATCTAGTCACACTTTGCAGCTGAAGAGAAGAATAACACATTCAGTAGATAATTTATCTGGTGTGTTTCCAGCTGGCCTGATGAGTTCTGGTTTGAGTGTGTCACATTGTCTGCGATGGATATGATGAACATAGTGTGGTTGGAATACTGTTATTATACTCTTCTAATTCCTGAAAATCCCTAAGGGACTAGATATAGAATGCAGTGTTAAAAAATATAATAGACCTAATATCAGCGTCTAATGACAAACAAATTGATTACAATCATGCTTTATCAGCTTGAAAAAGACATTCACATAATGTGCATAATTTTAATGCTTTAAAATTTTCTTTTGTAGTTAATATTCTAGTGGAGAAAACTCGACTGAATCTGTCCATTTCATACATTCTTGCTGTACTTAAGCTTGTATATGATTCCCTGCCATCAGAAAATGTCAGTGTGGTTAATGAAAATGATAGCTCAGGCCATTTTAGTCTTGGAGGTCAACAAGGTCATAGTCTTGTGGTGGGCCGTTTTTCTCATGTCCGGCTCCCATCAGACACAACCAGTGGATATTATTCTGTTGTCAGCTCCACAGAAAATGAAAGCAGAGGCCTCTCAGTATCTGCCAAACTAAAAAAGCCAGAGATTATTTTATTTGCAGATCCAATGGATAAAAATAGTCAAGTTTTGGTGTTAAAAGTGAGTAATTACAAAAGTTTGTGGGTTTTAAAATAATTAAAATGTTCAGGAGCACATATTTTAAAGTATTAGTGTATACATGAATTTTTGTAGCAGAGTTAGATATATGATACATAAAGGTATCAGTATAATCATGTGTGTTTCTTAATAAATAGGTGTTTATTAATTGAATATATAGTAATATCTTTGTTTTTAATTAAATATTTTATATCTGATAATGGACTTTATTTATCCTTTTAAATCAAACTTTGATTTTAGTTATGCAATTTTATATGGGTGATTAAAGAATCTACCTAGAAACCTACATTTAACAGTAAAGAGTTTAGTTCTAAACAAAAAGAAACTTAGACCTTCCCTAGAAAAGTATTTTCTAGTTCAGATACATATACTCTTGATGAAATAGAGTGTAGCTGTAAAAAAGCAACAAAAATAGTAAACTTACAAAAATGAAGTGATGATCTGTTCCATTTAAAGAATGAGTGGAACCACATCTAAAGTCTTGGAAGGACATTTAGTTTTTGCAGACTTGTTATCATCTTTTACAAATTGATTCTTTGTAATTAACTTTAGCAATCATTGAAGATAAATCATTAGATAAAAAAAATATTAACGAAAATGTTTGAAATTGTCAACATATCTTCTTAGTAGTTTCTTTCATGTTATATTCATGAATTTTATTGTTTGAAACTAATATGATGGAAATAGGATTAACCTAAATCTCTTAAGCTGGCTGAATCTTGTGAGATGTTATTGGGATTACTGCCAAAAATATTGCTAACAGCTAGGTTACCCAATTGATGGAATGTTTCTTTCTAGTTTTTATAAGTAAAAATGTAAGAACAGAATATTTAATTATCTACTAACTGAGGGTACTAAGGAAGCAAATATTTTAAAAAGAACAATGTGAAATAATGGTCCCCTTATTTATTTTGTTATTTCTTCTGTAACGGTGAGAAGCATAGGACTAAATTCTGTCAGGGTAGGAGTCATCTTCAGCTAAGACAACTGTATTTTTTGAACAGAATGGTTAGATTTGAGGGAAACTTGACACATAATTGAAAGATAGCAGCTGTCTTTGAGTTTTTTTAGTATTTAATTAAAGGAAAACAAGGGACTTTTTTGTCCATTTAAGCTATGTTATTACCTTATTAGATGCTAACTGAATACTCTGCTTTGAGGAAGGTAATAACTGACTTATTTAATTGATTAAATACTTATGTCTTTAAATTCATAGACATAAGTCTATAAAAAAAAGAAAATGTGTCCAATTTAGTGACTTTTTATTTCCTTCTTGGACAAAAATCCTAAAACAAAGTAGCCAATGTACACCACTTACTGAACAAAAAATTATTGTAATCAAGCCAGCCAACCTGGGTCACACACACACACACATGCCCACACGATCAAACATTTTATAGTAAGATGCTTATTATTGAGTTGATGTTTAGTTATGTTCTGTGTAGGTATCATGCTTCAATCATAAGTTAATGTTAAATATTCCCAAATAATTAATTTATAAATGACATAATTGTTGTGTATTTCCTGATCATACAGTAACAAGTATTCCAAAACTTTAATAAATTTTTGGAGCTACAGATGTTGCTACAATGAATCAGTTATAGAATATTTTATAGAACTCTATAAAGCTGTGCTGAATCATTAATTAAACTATAAATATCTAAGTGGAGCTGAACTGGATCATTAACTAAACTTTTAAATCTTAATGACATTACATTTAGTTGGTAATTAATTTTTTAAATTTGGGTGGAGCTACACTATATGAGAAACTAACTTTTCCTTATCTGGCTAGATTACCATAGGTCAGTAATTAAATTTTTTATGCCAGATGTGGAAACTTCTGTTCTGGATTTGTAACTTCTCTGCATCAACTGATTTAGTTATTTAGTTGTTGAAATGGTTGTATCATTGAATGTCCAACATAGAGTGATAAGTTTCTAGTGTAACAAAATTACTACTTTGAATATAAATGCAAGACCATGCATAAAATATAAAAATTGAATTACCATTTTGACTATAACAGTTTTAGATATTTGGTAAGAAGAAATGCATAAGTTTGTAATTACTTTACTAGCATTTTATGAGAATGATTTAATATATTTTTTTTCTAAAAGAAACTTTTTTATTTATTAGATGGACATTATATTTGATTATAGCAGAAATGGAGGTCAGGAAAATGTAATGGCAAATGTTGCTGGCCTTCATATGTTGTCATGTTCTTATGGAAATCGGAAAGAAACTATGTGCACTGTAAGTTTAAAAAAACATTTTATATGTAACATGATTGCTTAATATGCTTGATTTATTTGACCACATTTTTCAAAATAAATTATGTTGAGTATAGAAATTGATTTATTTAATTTATTTTGATTTTCATGAGTTAATTTAAAGTTTTTATTGTTTTACTTATAAATTATACTTCATGGTAAAAGTTTACGTATATTCTATTAACCCTTTACACATTATGTCCTTACATTATGAGGACATAACTCTTGTCAAATTCTGTTCCAAAAATAAAACTAGTAGATTAAGTAGTTTGAAACTTGACAGGAACTTTCCTAAAGGCATGTGGTTTCAGAAAAATGAAATACTTTAATTTTTAACTTATTTCCTTAATTTATTTATGTTTTTATCAATTTTATGTTTGATTGTTCCCATATTTTGTTTATTGGCTAATAAAACAGTAATATCAAGTGCATGAATAGCACTTGGGGCATCTTTCATCTCAGTGATGTATAGTAGTATTAAGTACAAATGACACCAGCTCATCTTTTTGAATATTGAATTATATTTTTATTATGAACTAAATATAAAAAATAAGCTAAATTATGTTATTTAGATCTATTAATTTAAATACCAAAGAATATAAAACCACAACCATTTTTAGTTCAGAGCACTAACCCTAATTCATTTGCACATTGCCAAACATGAGATGCAGTGCATTGAATGAGGTGGTACCAAAATTGACAGCTTGTGATTAAGATTGCTTAAAATTCTTAAAACTGAGGCTGAATACTACCAGATGCCATTTTATAAAGAAACAAAACTGGAAAAGGTTTAAATACCATCCACAAATGGGAGACCAAATGCTAAAGAGCAAGGGAAAATTTTTAATAATTGTTGAAAGAAAATGTTTTAGCCTTAGAGGGTGCTTATTTAGTCTATAACAAATTTTAGATATTTTGGGTAATTTTTTTTTTAAACTTTATTAATTAAAACAACTTATTATTATAGTATTATTTAAACTTAAAAAAATATCCTCTGAAAAACAAGTTCAAGTAAGTTATCTATAATTTTTCAATTCACTGGTGCACTTATGCCCTTGGGACAAGACAAAATGAACATGGTAGGAAAAGGGTTAAGTATTCATCAGTTTTTAGCAAATTTTTAAAGTTTTTAGGATGTAAACATAATTTATGAGAGAATAAAACTTCTTTGGTTGTATTTCATTATAATCATGAGCCAAGCACAGCTTAGTGATTAGTGTATCAGTCAAATTCCATTCTTCATTTAGAGTTACGGTCAAATCCCACTCTTTGGTGTTGGGTGGAATTGATTATCTTCCTTCTCTCTCTAGTTTATCTTTTCAAAATTAGGGACAGCTAGCCAGATGGCCTTTGAGAAGCTTTGCATGAAATTCAAACAAACATCATAGTTATGCTCAGACAGCCAGTTGTAAGTTATGCTTTGCTGTATGACAGGTCTGATCTCTGTAAGAAGCAAAGAAAGGCAAGAAGTAGTAATTTTATTTTCTTAAGGAAAGTTGTTTGAATTTTTTCAATATATTCAAAACTTTTTAAGTGCATTAAAAATAATTCAATCTCAAAATGTGTAAAATTAACTGCTTTTAGGTATTACATCCATGTGATGCTGAATTCTCCAGAACACAGAAAATGACTGAAGATCAAATTGGAATGGAAATTCGGTTGAGTCATATTGACCTGCATATTTCAGCATTGATTGTACAAACTATAATGGATGTTACTGAAGAACTCATTGGTTCAGTAAAGGTAGTTATCTCCCATAAATGTTCTTGAAGTTATGTATTATACCAAAATATAATATGAGAGTTGACAAAATAGCATCTTATTATGCCTCATTATTTAATAGTAATACAGAATGATTAAAATACCTTATTTATTGATTAACATTTTATTTATCACCAATACTGAAAAAAAAAGACTAGTATTTTATCTTATTGTGTTTTTCTTAAACTCAGGATACAGACATAGACAATTTTGAGAAGAACATTCCAGAAACCAGTCCATTACAAGATTTATGGTCACCAAAGAAAATCATCCCATTGAAAATTGATTCACAAGAAGGTCAGGCTGTCATAAAACTTCTTTATAGTAATTTGTGCTACAAAAATCTGGATTTGTAGTTTTGGTTTTATCATTGATTTTGTATGTTACTGAATTTGTTACAGTCATAACAAATAACAAATACAGGAACTTTGTCTGATTGCAAGCCTAACTAAAGACCCACAATCTGATGAATAAAAAATATGCAGAAACTCAAAGTACAAACATTTCTGAAGAAGTGAAACCTAAAACTGAGTAGATTTCAACCTTGTGACCATGCTTATTGAATAGAGATTTTAACCTTCTTGCTATAGACAGGCCAAAGAGTGTATGTCATGTGCTTTAGAGAATTATTTTCAAAGTGTAATTAAACATCTTTGTTATCAATGTATGTCAATAAAATTGGCATCAAAACGTAGTTTATAATTCAAATTTCAATATTATATATGTTTTAATAAAATATTAAAAACAAAATGCTAAATATCCTTTTTTGTATGTCACATGGCATGCCCTCTTGTTTTATTGGTCTGTTTATACTGCATTACACCTACCATGTAATGTCTATAGTGGTTAAGGAGCTAGAAACTCAAATTTCGTACATTAGCAAGCTAGAATATGAAATAAGAACCTCCTGCCTTTTTGATTTGCTGAGATATCAATATATTTAGCAAACCTACTGGAGTAGCCCCTCTCACTACTACATTTGTTTAAACCTCTTGTCTACTCATGCTTACTTACCTTAAGTACATGTTTATAAGCAATAGAAAGAGCACATTCCAAACTACCTAAATCTGACAGTCGTTTGTAATTGGGTTGAAGGGGAAAGCCAGAGTTTTGCTGGAAATGTAGAAGTCTGTTGACTAAATCATAGCAATGAACTGAAATGAAAATGTTTTAACCTACATATAGCTTTGTTAGAATGCCAGATAAATTTCAATGGTTTTATAATAATTATAAATTATAATAATTTGACAAATTTTTGGTTTTCTAAAATGCATCTTTGAAACCTACAAAAATTAATTTGTCTTTCCCTTCCACTTGAGAGAATAAATGAGGCTTATGGGGAGGCATAGCAAGTATGATGTGCAAGTACAAACAGTTTTGTGACATAGAGTACTAGAAATCATTGATTTTTCTATATATTTTTTTTTCATTTATTCTTCTACATTTTAAGAAAAATAATGAAAAATTAAGCATTTAGGAATAAGCAGTAATAACTTATATACATATTAATAAGAACTTTATAAACCTATGTTTCTAAATTCCAACCACTTTGGGAAGACAACTAACATCCAAATACCTATCAAGTTTATTGGATCAGCCGATACTTTGTACACAACCATATTATAAACATTTTCTTGCATTTTTATACTTTAGACTATTCAAATCTTGTTGCAACTATTGTACTATAAACAAGCCAATAAATCTTCACCCACTGTGTTCTCAAGCTGGAATTATGATAAACTCTGTGGGAACCATTGGCTTATTGCACCACACATGCTGTTGGCAGTATTGTAACACGGTATTATGTAAACAGTCTAATGACAGGAGCAGTGATTCATTGTGCTATGTTCAGCAGGTTTCTTCTTCAGCTGCTAACAGTAAAATAAAGATAGGAAATAGATGTGAAATGGTGTAGGAGTAGAAACTCTCTGGGGATGTGCTTTGGAATTTTGTGGTCAATACTAAAAAGGATAGAACAGTACTACTCATTTTACTTTTCTTTTATGGTGGTCATGAGTTTGGTCAAATTGATCGATTGGGAATAAAGTTAGGATGGAGAAAATAAGTAAAATATAAAGTTTTAGTGAAAAAAATGGTTGATATGTATTTAGGAGGTTTTAGAAATTATGCAAGTGAAATTTGATAATTTTCAGATGGAGAAAAGTATTTCTAATCTTAACTTGAAAATCACTTTGCACTCAGAGTAGTCAATACTCTGACTCCATATATTCATGGACAAATATTTTAGTGAAAATACTTATTTAACAATTCTGAATTTTTGCGCATAAAATACTTGTAATATTTACCAAAGGCTTGAAATATTTAATAAAGATACACAAAATATGTTACAAATTGTAGTATAGAAACTCTGATGATTAAAAGGTTAACCAGAAAGGAATTAATGACAACCCTTGAGTTATTCCAGTCATCTTAGTAATCACTCTGTTATCATTTATTTTGAAAGTAGTTAATGTGGTTGAATTCTAGGGTTAATTTACAAAACGTTTCAGTTTTCATTTGTTGACAAAATAAAACCTTAAATTGACAGATGTGTGGTACACCATTAAAATTTCTCAAAGAAAATAAGAAAAGGTATTTTATTTATTTTTTTACTTAAGAAAACATGCAGAAAGTATTTGCTATTTTTTCTATTTTGAAGAAAATTTTAATAATCATGTTATATCTTTCATAATGTAAACTTCTTATTAAAATTAGTCTACAAATGTAAAAGTTTTGAGATAATTATCCCTCAATATCATAGCTACATTAGGTAGACTTCAGTTGAATGTGTGATTAATAATTGATAAAATAAAATTATTAATTTTTAAATCACATTGTATTTAACATTTCATCAGAAGTAATGTGATTTAATAAAAGATGTAATTACTATTCTTTCGTTTTTACAATAGCTCAAGAAATTTGTGTGCATCCGTCATATCCAGTGTCTAAGTCCCAAGAAACCCTAGCCCTCCATATACCGGAATTAAAAATTACATGTGACATTGTAGAAGGACTTCGCAGGGTGCCTGTTCTTTTCCTTAAACTAGCTTTAGAATCTGATTTTCACAATTGGTCCAAACAGGTACACAAGATTTTCATTAAGCTTTATAAGCATTATATTTTAATAGTTAATTATGTTGAAGGAAAAATTATAATACTCCTGGTAGATACCATATACATTCCAACTATATGTTTGTTACATCTTTTACCACTAGAATGTTGGCATAGAAAGTATGCTTGATATCCTTGTATCTTTTTCGACAATGAAAATACAGTATTTTCTATTTGTTAGTTCAAAATATTGTTTGTAAACACACACATATATATAAGGAGCTTAACTTATCATATTAGTGCTTCCTAATGCTTTAATTCATTAATTTCAGCCCCCCAGTGGCACAGTGGTATGTCTACGGACTTATGATGCTAGAAACCGGGTTTTGATACCTGTGGTGGGCAGAGCACAGATAGCCCTTTGTGTAGCTTTGTGCTTAATAACAAACAACAACAACATTAATTTCAATAAACCTGAGAATTAAACATGTATTTCATAGAAGTATTGCTAGCTTTGGGCATTACAACAACATTTTGATCAGTAAGTTAATTAAGTAGTATTTTGATTTTCCATAAGCAAGTACCACATTTCAGCATTATACTCTGGATACAAATACATTTTAATGTTTTTATTGTATAGTAGTTTTTCTAAGGGTAGATACTGGGCATCAATTAAAGAACTAACATTAAATAATATTAATTAATTTTTCTATAATAAATTTATATAGTTGATGAAACCTAAAATAGTGGAAAAGTATCATAGTTTAAATTCACACCTGTTTTATTTCTACATTGTGAAGTATTTAGAGCTATTATAACATTAATTATACCAATACTTTTATTTCTATATAACTCAAGAAGTATTATAATAAAAAATAAAAGGAAGTATGATTTTTTTTTTATTGAAACACAGCTATATCTTAAAGCTGATTTACAGTTAGAAATGATGTATTATAATGAAAAATTATCAACATGGGAACCTCTGGTAGAACCTGTGATGGAAGTTGAGAATGTTTATCGGCCATGGGAAGTGACTGTGAAAGTAAGTTGTTTTTGGTGTCTCACCTAGTAAAATTGGATATATTTATCTTCTTAGTGATAGTGAAGCTCATTATTAAGATGTAGTTGGTCAACCTCTAATGTTTATAATCTGCCTTTTCAATACTTGTGTATCTTTATTTAGAAATACTGTTTCCTTATCTTATAAAATTTATACTAACTTAATAACAAAAGTATGGAATAGGAATGTGTTCAGCAAGAAATGTATCATACTCAGCCAGTAACTCCAGTATTCCTAAATAATTGCCATTATGCACTGAACCAACTACTTCCTTGCTTCCTCTGAATGCTAGCACTTTTGGTGAAAGAAACTTTGTGACTGAGAGAAATACACTCTAGAACTTGGTACCGGTGTTATTCCTCTGACTCCATCTGTTCTGTTAAAGTCTTATCAATTTGTCCATATTTGATTTTATGAATAACAAATTTTGTGATGCAACAAGTTTCCTTTGTGCCGACTAAAGTCCCTTGTAGCATGTTTCCAGTTAAAGTAACTAATTATTGCTAGCAAAGTTTCTATTGCTGTTGAAAACAGTTTGCATATAATGCATAAGACATTCCCCTTTGATAGTGAGTAGCAAAGCCAGTCTCCTTTAACCTTTTTTCTGTTTAGTTACTCATGATAAAAAAAAAAGATCCGTTGAGCATTAGCATTTATACTTGTCACCAGGAATTGATTTTGTAGATGCAGTGAAATCCACATCCATGGTAATTACCGATGCACAAACAAAATCTCTCATTTTGTCAGAACCTTGTGTCCATGTCCCAGTGTCAAGTGGGGACTTGATTTAATTTGATGAGGTTGATGGTCATAAGCATTGAATTTTGTAGTCTCTATGTGATTGTTTTGACAGTCTTGGTTGGTGATTATATTTTTGGTCCTTTTTGATTGAGGGCAAGGACTCAATTTGGTAGGATGAAGTTGACAGTCATCAGCATCCAGAGGTTTAGTGTCTATATTTTCATTTCCACTATCTTGGTTGGTGAGGGTTTTGGCACTAGATGAAGCCCATAAACCTGTTAGCTTCCTAGTTTTAGCTACTACTTTCTCTAATTTTTTTTTCTTCCTCTTTCCTTGACTTTAGCTTTTCCAAACTGCTTTTGTGTTTTTACATCTGTATAATAGATAAGATGATTACTTAATGAATAATGTGTGTACATGCATAAGTATACTTGTGTGTGTCTGTGTGAGAGAGAGATAGAAAGAGAGAGATTGATGTCAGAATGAGCTATCTAATAGTTTCTAAACAACTGACCGCATATCATTTTCTGTACTTAGCTCAAAAATTTCAAATTCTGAGCTTGGATGACTTGTATTTGACTTCAGTTAATGAACCTTGTCAAGCTGTGAATGAATTATTTACAACTGATAAGTGAGCCAATGTAGGCTCTCAAGTGATTATAGATTTCTTATGTGATAACAACTTCCAAATTCTGTTCAAGAAACACAAACAATTAATATAATATATCCTAAATGCCTAAAATACTGCTACTTTCCTTGTTAACAATGATTGAACTCTTTTCTTGAAAACAGTCTGAAGCCTTTGAGAACGAAGAATCAAAAGATATAAATATCTCCAGTCTAGCTTAGCAACTTATGTCTAATCATACTCTAGGCCGACTTCTTGATCATACAATAAGAAATGGTGTGTCGGGTGTAAGCCTCAAGGTAGGAGTTTGTCTGACAGCATTGTGAAATTGTGAAGAGATTTTGATAGGCTACAGCATATCTTTTGATTAACATGACTAGGTCTAATCTTCCTTAGACCTAACACAGTTGCATTGCAAATTGTATGCAAATGTGCTAAGTCAGAGTGTGACTACACATAGTCATACTATTTGGAGACAAACCAATCAATCTCAGCACTTTACATTACATGACAGGCTAACCCATGTTACACACAAACTCTCTTTCTCTCTTTCTTCAATCAAATGATTTTTATTAAGCATTTTCCTAACAAAAATGAATACAGGTCTTTCTTTTTATATAACAGGCTCTTTTTAAGCTTAGGCCTTGGGCTACAGCCCGAATAGCCCCTCCTTAACCCTCTCCACATGGGTCAATGGCCATGTAATTGCATTTGTTGACGCACATTCAAAATTATATTGAACTACTATTTTATGAATTTATGTCAATAAGTTTGGTATCAAACTGTAGATTATAATAATTTTTGTGTGTTACTTGTAATGTTGAATGCAGCACTGGTTCAAATTAGATGTTTCTGATGTCAAAATATGAAATCTATAGTTTTATATGAATAAGGAACTCAAATTATTGATATTGACAAGCAGGAATATAAAATAAGAACCTCCTATCTTTTTTATTTGCTACTGTGGCCCTGTTTGCCTCTTTCCATTTCTGAAAACAGTCACTTATATACACTTACTTCTGACTATGACATGTGAATAACCAATCAAAAGCATAGAATGTCCATCTAATGGCTTCATAAGCCATTTTCAAGTATTACAGCATCATCTTTTTCTTTCAATACAATACTTCAAGCTGGTAAGTTGAGTCTTTAGTTTGCTTGAAAGTTCATATTTTTTAGACCTAAATATTAGCTCCTAAGCTTGATAAATTACAGTGGGAATTCTATGGCATCGATATAGTAATTTATGATTTTTTTGGTTATTTCAAAATGTATATATAAAACGTTAAAAAAAATTATTTCGTTTCACATCCTCCA